CAAGAGCTGCTTCTGTTAAATCTGAAGTCTCTCAGCCACAAGCAAAGCTCACCAAATGTTCTGCTGCTGGCTGCAAGAGTGAACACAAGAGTTCTCATGCACTTCCAGCGTCTGAGAAACTGAACATCCAGTAGATTACTGTAGTATTTGGTGGCAATGTCACTGCAACAATCCTTAATTCCTTGTGTGTTAACAGATTATTCAGCTAATGTGGCTAATGTCACCTTAAGCTTTGATCATATGTCCACAGGTCAGAGCTCTGTGGAAACTATAACGCTAAGAGATGGTGGAAACTTTAATTTAAAGCATCAAACAAAGACTGGATGGATTACTGTGCTTTCATGCCAGCTGTTGTGCTTCAGTTCAGCCTAAACTCATTTGCTGCTTACATCTGTTCTCTCCTGCCCTCTGTGCTCACATTTACTGTATTTTAATACGGTCGAATTTCCAAAAAAGCTGCTCTCATTTACATATTTATCTGTTCCTGTTGTCAGACAAGAAACCAAGTATGAAGCAGTGACTTCAATGCAGCCCAATAAGACTGCAAACCGATGCACTGCACCGCTGAAATAAAAAACTTTGTAACCACAACAAACTCACCAAACACACGAGTTAAATACAGCAACAAAGTTAGCTGTCATCTGTTTGTGCACTGTCAGTCGCTCAAGCTTGTTTATACTCATGCACCACACTGCAACATATGCAACATAACTGTCCACAAGATTGTAGGTCTCAATAGTTAGAAAAGTATGCTGGCTAGCATACTTCAAAGACGTCATCTGGGTATGTTTGGCATACAGCATGTGATGTACTATGCATTGGGAAAAACTAGATCTTTATCAGGCTTACTATATAGTATGGTAGTATGGATACTGGAACCCAGCCTCAGAGAGAGTCTTCTTCCTGGAAGGGGGCGAGCAAAGCAGCTCAGACACTATAGACGCTGAAACAGGCCAGTTAGAACCTGATTTAATCAATTATTATTATTGTTATATATTATTTTAAAAATATTTTTAAAATTATTTGATTAGAATATCTAAGTAAAATATCTAAAAATAATAAATACATAATATATGAAAATATTATTACATACTATGATGATTTATAACCTGTCCAAGGTGTCCCCTGCCTTCGCCATGAGTCGGTGGGGATAGGCTCCAGTCCCCTGCGACCCTACAGAGGAATAAGAGATG